GACACTCGTAAATATACTATAAATGAAAGTAGTCGAGTGGTTTAAGCAATGTAATATGTAGTAGAAATCTGTTCATATTCCGTAATAAATTGCATTTTTTAACATCTTAATAGTTTGCAGCTATTGTGGTGGGGGCCCAATAACTTCATGTAATGCATCGCCTGGCACTATCTGTTGCTATGAAATGCTTTTGAAATCATGTGTTAAAATTTAAAAGTCGACTCCATCAGTTGCCATTTATGTCAGTGCCGTGGTATATCAAGCGCAAAGGTTTTCAGAAAATGTTACACCTCCACCTTTCAAAAAGTGAAAAGATGAATTCATTTTGGCATTACTGTCATTACTTTGTAAGTTTTTAATGATAGCACATGCTTAAACAAACTCGCTCCCAAAAACAAACTCATTTTTTTTTTGGTTCAACTTACACAAATAAACCCAGGGCTTTCACATTCGCGCAAAATACTTAGTCCCCCCCTAAACCTAAAACAGTTGCACAATCTTACTTAAACACATTGCTAAACTCTTATACACAAACAAAAAACTCAATTTTTAACTTACACAAATAAACACGGGGGCTTTGCACATTCACACACAAAAAAAATGCTTAGTTCCCCCTAGACTTGAACACTCACAATCTTACGGTGCTTTAATTGCCAAAGCCTTCCCAACCTGCACTGGGTCGTTAGTCATACATAGAATCAGGGAGAAAAATATCTACTTCAATATATAAAAAAAAATAATACAACTCTTGAATAAATAGTCCAGCCAAATTTAACCAAATTTTCCCCAATTTAAGATAATTTCCACCTAATTTGCCACAATTTTATCCAATTTCCACCAAATTTTACTATAGTTCACCTTATCATAGCACAGCCAAAGCCCCAGTTTGTCCAAGTTTCACCCATTCCATATAACTTTTATGTGTATTTCCAGTATCCAATATCCAGTGGTCGATGTCATACTCCATTCCCAGAGACCATTCATAGTGATAGTGTAGGGTCCGACGAGCCATTTCCAATATACAGATGCGTTTATATACATCAATCTTACCTAAAAACCAGACCCAACCCTAACATGGCTAAGACCAAATTTAACCAAATGTATCACAATTTAAGACAATTTCTACCTAATTTACCCCAATTTATCCAAATTTAAGACATTTTCTACCAAATTTACCCGATTTTACGTATTATAGCAAGGTCAATGCCCAATTTTCCCCCCAAGTTTCGCCTATTCCATACACTGCAAATTTAAGGCGCATTTTCAATATGCAGTCCAATATTCTCGACTGTTTTTTTTTTATTTGTTAGTTATGGATCTTTGTTAAATATTGTATTTTATATTCTTAGAAAAGTATTTGTTTGGATAATAACCCAACTACCCTGTACCCTAACCTGCGTGGATCTTTGCCGAATATTCCTGTCATTGTTGTTTATGGACTCAACAACCCTGAAGCTAACCTGCCTTGACCTGACGTTAATTGTTGCACCTTCTTTTTTTGGGGGGAAAGTGATGTTTTTGCATCAACCCAACCGCCCTTGCCCATACCTCTGATACCAAAATCCTGGTTCCATATATGGTATCTTATTCTTGGGACACAGCCAATCCCTCCCAACCTAACCTCTATTAACTATGGGTTTAATGGCCATTTTTCTCTACATCAGTTCAAACACAACCCAACCTCATATAAATGGATTTGAACTACATTTGTACACATGTTCTTAGGAAACATGATAAGATTCGTCATATCTCTATCGTTAAATAATCAAATTTTCCTTAACCTAGCCTATAATCCCCCCCCCCTTGGGTTATATTAAGCTAATGTGAAAATATATTCCTACTTTAATTCTTTAATATCCATAATTTGCCAGAATTTCGAGGGGGGGGGGATGTTTTTATAGGCTAGGTTAAGGAAAATTTGATTATTTAATGATAGAGATATGGCGAATCTTATCATGTTTCCTAAGAACATGTGTACAAATGGTTTAGTTTAGATAAGATTAGATAAATTAGATTAGTTTAAATTTAGGAGGGACCAGGGTTAATACTGGTACAGTAGCAGGTTGTCGATTTGTGGAACAATTATCGGATAACATTATGAACGTAGGATCCCTTGTTTGTTTCAAGTGTTCTTTCATATGAAGAAAGATTAACAGAGCTTAAATTTCATTCACTGGAAAGGCAAAGAGTCAGTTGTGACATGATAAAGGTTTACAAGTGGATGAATACATATAACAATGGGGATATTAATACGGTATTAAAAGTATCAACACAAGACAGATTTGTATCTAACAGTATATAGGTACCCGTGAAGTCGGGAACTGTGGTGGGTTGTGGCACACAATACCACAAAAATGTAGAGGTTTTATCTAACATGTTGTTTGTGGACAGATGTGGAGTGTTGACGTATTAAAAACTAACGATGTGATCCGGGAACTAGAAAACGGCGCTTACTTCGATATTTGGGACAGATGTGGAGTGTTGACGTATTAAGAACTAACGATGTGATCCGGGAACTAGAAAACGGCGGTTACTTCGATATTTGGGACAGATGTGGAGTGTTGACGTATTAAAAACTAACGATGTGATCCGGGAACTAGAAAACTGCGGTTACTTCGATATTTGGGACAGATGTAGAGTGTTGACGTATAAAAAACTAACGATGTGATCCGGGAACTAGAAAACGGCGGTATTTCGATATTTGGGGCGACAATACAACCCACGCCCAGGTAAGTGAACTGTTTGCTGTCAGACAACTTTCTTGCATGAATTGTGTATATACTTGACCCTTACTTGGCCGAAACGTTGTCGTTGCCTCATTTTCATGTGGTTATGTCATTTATAGTATATTGGAGGGCCACTCGTAATCATGCGTCATTTTTGTAGATTCTGGTAAGCTCGACCTGGAGTACGTTGGTACAGCAGGTGCTGGAGTCCTCAGAGATAAGCTACTGGGTGGAGGTGGAGGATGTGATGAGTCTGGTGCAGCAGGAGCGGCTTTTTATGGAGATAACCAAAAACAACAGAGGTAAATACATGCTCGCTCAAATACCCAATTTGCATATGTAGAATTTACACTGTCCATATACTTCACGTATATTTAAGATGTTTGCTAAGAAACTGTGGAAATCCTCTTTCTTATTGTCATAAATTTAAACAAAACTAGAAGAATAGATTTTAATACCTCATACTATATGTTGTTAATGATATATTGCATAAGATTTACAGTTTTTATATTATAACCCAACGAATCCCACAGAACATCCGATGGATTGGAACGTCTACCACAATACGGAAGACGTCGAGAAGTTCCTAAACTGGGTGAAATGAAAGGAAATGGGAGGCTGCTTCGTGCAGGTGCTAACGGCAGCCACCATGGAGGATGGGCGCCAAGTCCTAATGATTAAAGTCACAGATCCATTCTCCGATGAACCCAAGACAAAGATCTGGATCGAAGCTGGTAAGAGAGAGGAGCTTGTTCGTCCTGAATAGCCAATAGAGTTAGCAATACAGTGTATATAACAATTATAAGTAAGATAATAGAGTTAATAATGATAAGTGACAATATGAAATAATAACTAATTATTTCCCAATCTCTATCCCGTTGTTTCAGGTATCCATGCTCGTGAATGGATCTCTCCTGCCGTCTCTATGTATATCCTGAACCTGCTGATTACAGACGAGTCTTGGCGAGACCTGCTGAAGAGGACGGAGTGGTACATGGCGCCTGTCGTCAACCCGGACGGCTATCATTACACCTTCACCTCCGAGAGTGCCAGGTCAGTCAACAGTGTACACGATATGCAACACCGTGTAGTGTTCATGCCACACAACCTCGCACAGTGAACACGTCATAAAGACCCCTGCAGTTTTACAATACACTCTGCACATTATTGCCCAGAAGCGTGTGTATCCCAAGTCCTGATTAGTAATGAGATAATACATATAGCAGTTTATTATGGGAAATAATACCAACCTCACGGTTAGTTTCTAAAAAAATTTAATTGTCATGATTCTAACATTATTGTTTACTCTAGGCTGTGGAGAAAGAATCGCCAGATAGAGGGTGCAAAGGAGTGAGCCTGATCCGTGACATGGACTTGGAATGGAGCTTCAGCACTCCATTCGACCCGTGTAGTGAGACTTACAAAGGCGTCACACCCTTCACTGAACCAGAAACCCAAGGTCTCCAAGCAATCATGGAAACAGTGGGTGGCATTGACCTGTTCATAGCTTTCCCAGGCTATGGCCAGTCTATCGTTTATCCTGTGTTGCGGAATGACATTCCTCCAGCAAACATCCATGAACACGAAGTTCTGGCTATGGTATTTGTTCATGCCGTGAGCTATACGTCTCGTGGACACATGAATTATGAGATAAGCGAATCAGGACCACTGTACGGTCTAACCTCTGAAGACTTGGCACCCGAGGCACAGAATAGGTTCATATATACCATTGATCACCCTTATAAAGGGAGATATGGATTTCTTCATTCAGAGAGTAATATTACCAGCACTCTGGTGGAGATCACTGCCGGTATCATGTGCATGGTCCGTCATATTACTAACACGGGTCACTGTACCAATCCTTAGTAGCAGCCATATGTATAGTTGGTACATATGGCATATGGTTGGTACTAAGGCAGGAGTTACTCTTGGAATCAACATTATTTATGTAAGTAATTCCTAAATCTGAAGTTTAAATCCTAAAATAAAACAATAAAAAACCTACTTGTTTTTATTTAAACTGCTATTAGACAAGTCTAACAAATAAATTTACAACAGTAGGCAGGTATTTAGCTAATGTAACAACCGGTCTTTTTATATAATAATGTTCCACTTGATGTTGTAGTTATTTACATGAATATATGTTTAGTATTTATGTACTTGACTTTATAATAGAGTGTATCAAAATTTGTATGAAGCAGAAGTTATCTTTTCTTTAGCCACTGCACATAAGTAGAAGTATACCTTTACATTAAGGTATATGGAAAGTTTCAAAATTTCCATTTCAATATTTGCTTTCTCAAACAAACATTAACTATTCTTCATTAAAAAAAAATCAAATTCCCTTACTTCCATTCTGTGGCTTAAGGGAAAAGATGAGGACCATGTCTGGCATATTGCTATTCAGTGCTGGAGTCGTGGATGGAACCATTTTGCGAAAAAGAAGATATATCATTTGCTTCGGGCAATTGCCCAATTAGCCTAACGTCTATTTTTGGAAAATTGCTTGAATCGACAATTGCAAATGCCATTCCGCTTCATCTTGAAAAAAGAATAATTAATGACTCACAACGTGGTTTTGCTAACGGCCGTTCGTAACAAATATGCTATTTTCTATTTTATCATAATTCAGTCAGGTATATTAACAATATAATTTGGTTATATTTCACACAAACAGTAGGAGTCTAAGAAGCAAAATGAAGGAGAAGTTACCAGTACTGGTAGCTGCTCTTCGCGCACGCATAAAAAAAAAATCGTAAGAAATCCATTTCTTAACATATAGGGATGAAATTTTTACGACGCTGATGCCACATAACGGGAATTTTTTTTACTATATTTTATATTTGGAAAAGTCTCCACATGCACCTTAAAAAACAGAGATAACGAGGGAAAAAAAGAAATTACGAAGTTCCCATAGCAGTGCAAGCAAAGACAAATCCTAACGTTTTTGCAGTTAATTCGAGCAAAGATTAGTGAAAGAATAGGTCCATTAAAAGTTAAGATTGGTCAGATAGCAGATAATGACAAAGAGATGAGTAGTATTTTTAATATATATTTTATCTCTGTATTTACTAAAGAGGAACTTAACACTATGCCTTCAGCCAAACAAGTCTATGTGTGATGGGACGAGGACAGGTTGACTAGTTTAGCTGTTACCATTGAGGATGTTATTGAGGAAATAGGGAACTCAAACCAAACAAATCCCCAGGGACGGACGCAGTGGACGAAGAACTTTTAATGGGCCTATTCAGGGTGTTTAAAAAATGCAAAAGGGAGCTTTTCGAGCCAGTCTACCATATTTAATAAATCATTTGTCAGACAGAGTGCCGGAGTCATGGAAGGTTGCTAAAGAGGAGACATTTTATTTAAGAAAGGAGATTGATCACTTGCGTACAACTATCGGCCAATTAGCCTAACGTCTATTGTAGGAAAATTACTAGAATTGATATGCAAATACCATTCGTCTTCATCTAGAAAATATATATTAATAAATGATTCACAACATGGTTTAACATATGGCCATTCATGTTTAAAAAAAAATCCTCATTTTATTCCAGCTAAGTTAAGGCAGTTGTGAAGTGCGTACCTTGCCTTCAGCAAAGACTCTGATACAGTGCCACACGAAAGATTGATTAAAAAGAGTCTCACGGTATTAAGAGTGCTTTATAAACATGGATTAGGGTATAGCTATAATCAAAGAAATAGAGAGATAGAGAGGTAGTGTAAATGGTGTTAATTCAAAATGGAAGAATTATGCAAGTGTAACTAAAGTGCCTCTAGGCTCTGTCCTGAGACCACTGTCATTTAGCACACACACTATATATATATTTATCAAATATATATAAATATATATATTTATAAAATAATATATATATATATATATATATATATATATATATATATATATATATATATATATATATATATATATATATATATATATATATATATATGTGTGTGTGTGTATATCACGAAAATAAACACGTGATTAAGAATGTGACAATGTCAGACCACGGAGGAAAAATGAAACAGGAAATTTCCTTAAGTACTTTCGTATATTAAATACATCTTCAGAAGGTCATTTTACAGATCGAGTGATGGGTATAAATAGGCAGGAGAGAGTGGTGAAGTAAGGTGAGGTACAATACTTGGACAACGCAGAAGGCCCATTGGCCCATCAGATGCACCCAATTGGCCCATCCGATGTAGCCCAATGGCCCATCTGATACAGCAGACATACAAGCATAATACAAGGTAATTATAACATAAAGAGGTAAAAATATACAATAAATTAGTGAGACAAATGTTTTTCAATGATTCTACTTAAATCGCCCTTTAGCTGATCTATTAGAAATGGATCTAAGTTATATAGACCACTGCTAATATTCAAATTACTTTCTTTGGTGATCTGTATCAAAGCGGATTCAATTATGTTTCTGTTATAGGTGCTTTTACAATTTGTTATTGAAGACGCACTCTCCCAATCAATTTGGTGAGCTTTTTCTGACAAATGCACAAACAAAGCATTAGATAATTAGATTTCCTTGGTTTAGATATGTTGATGATATCTTATGTATTTGGCCTTCAGATGTAAACACAGACGAATTTGTAGCCAAACTTAATGACCAAGTCACCTCCATAAAATTTACTATGGAGACTGAAATTGATAAATGTTTGCCATTCTTAGATGTGCTTATTCATAGGGAAAACTCTTCATTAAAGTTTAGTGTTTACAGAAAACCTACGAACAATTTATCTTATGTTCATTATTTTTCAGGGCATAAATACAATGTAAAAAAGTCAATTTTTTCTTCAATGTATCTAAGAGCTCTTCGAGTTATGAGTCCAGAATTCTTAGATGAAGAATTTAAGAATATTGATTCGATTGGTCTTAAGCTTTGTTACCCACTGAATTTTTTGGAAGTTTGTCGTAACAAAGCTCGTCGTACATATTATAATAATGTATGCAGTGAAAGGACTCGCCCAAAGAATGTGTTATGTTTACCATATTTCTCTGGGTTTGAGAATATTGTCAAGGCCTTGAAACTTTTTAATATAGATGTAATGTTTAGCTACGAAAACACTGTTGGTAAGCTATTAGTAAGGAACAGCCCTCGTAGTGATAATTGCGTCATTTATAAAATACCTTGTAAGGAATGTAATAAGTTCTATGTCGGGCAAACATCTAAAGATTTAAAATGTAGAATATCGCAACATAAATACTCTGTAAGACATGGCCAATTATCTAATGCTTTGTTTGTGCATTTGTCAGAAAAAGCTCACCAAATTGATTGGGAGAGTGCGTCTTCAATAACAAATTGTAAAAGCACCTATAACAGAAACATAATTGAATCCGCTTTGATACAGATCACCAAAGAAAGTAATTTGAATATTAGCAGTGGTCTATATAACTTAGATCCATTTCTAATAGATCAGCTAAAGGGCGATTTAAGTAGAATCATTGAAAAACATTTGTCTCACTAATTTATTGTATATATTTACCTCTTTATGTTATAATTACCTTGTATTATGCTTGTATGTCTGCTGTATCAGATGGGCCATTGGGCTACATCGGATGGGCCAATTGGGTGCATCTGATGGGCCAATGGGCCTTCTGCGTTGTCCAAGTATTGTACCTCACCTTACTTCACCACTCTCTCCTGCCTATTTATACCCATCACTCGATCTGTAAAATGACCTTCTGAAGATGTATTTAATATACGAAAGTACTTAAGGAAATTTCCTGTTTCATTTTTCCTCCATATATATATATATATATATATATATATATATATATATATATATATATATATATATATATATATATATATATATATATATATATATATATATATATATATATATATATATATATATATATATATATATATATATATATATATTGTTGGGGGTTTCACCTCTCTATTATTCTCTACCCTTACTCTGGGGTAAGCAATAGTCATGCTCAAGGTAACTCTCACCGTAGCCCTGCGGGTCTTCCCTCGATCCTCACGGCGCCACTGCACGCCAGGAGAGTCTCCCAGTCAATCTTAACGGCCTCTTATTAAGAAAGAGTGAGAACACGACTCGTTCACCTCGACTGTCGTGTGCCCTCCCCAACAATAGGGCTCTACGGTAAACCACAAGGTCGCCAATTGGTGTTTAAGGTGGCCAATAACACCATCAGTGGACTGGTGTATTCAGTGGTAGCCTTGGCAAGGTCACACTCAAAGATCAGGAATCAGGCAGGTACTTGTTGTTATCACTCTATGTTTACCAGTATAATATCGCCACAAGATCAATGGAGGGGATGATAAAACACAAAGAGAGTTTTGTATTTTACTTAAAATGTATGAAAGATGTCACAAGGCCACACAATAATCATAAATCAACTGATCCTGACGCGGCTGGTAATTCCCACGGATATTATGCGATCATCAGGGGGCAACATCTCCCCCCCCTCATCAAGTGTCAAAAACCAGCTGATCGCGTGGCCTCTCCGCGCGAACTTTGCTTGTTTTCTAGATTCGCTGTTTCGTTAAATTCTCCAATATTACTAGAAACTCGCACACTCAATTTTGGCTAAATAAACCGGATTACTCAGTTACACTGTA